ATCTATAGGTTATCAACTTAACAACTTTATCAACTTTCAACATTCAACTTATTGACTTTAATAACATCCAACATATATAGTGTTCAACCTTGAACTTTTACAACACATCAGCTTAAAACAACATAAACACCATATATCTCTACAACATAAACAACTTAATAGAACAAAAACATAAATCACTTAAACAACATAAAAAAAACTCATAACTCCACATCTTTCTCAACTTACTACATATCAACTCATATATCTTTTTACATTATCATTCATACAACTATGTCATCATAAATCAATTGCTAAACAACTTAAGAAAATCAACTTTACATCATACCACTCATTCACCATAAATCAACTTTTAATCAGCATTAACTAACAACTTCCCATCATATAGCTCACGCCTAGTGCCACTCACTAGGCACTTGATGTTACTGAGGCAAAGAGCTCATTGTCTCACCCTCGTCCAATGTCTCACCATTCCCATCTAGTGTGATTAAGATAGAAAGTGCCCCTCAGTCTCACGCCTAGTGTGGCAACACCCACTCTTATCCCCAATTAGGTAAAGAGTTTTTTGCTTGACTCACGTCTAACATCACTCCACTAACGTCTGGCGTGATCTCAGACAGAGACCATCCTCTCATCTTACACCCAACATCATTCAACCCACTTCCCACATAATTCTAACTTTAGATAAGTCTCTCTCCTCACTTTCAATGCCACCAATCATACGTCCAACATGAATGAGACAGAGACCTCTCTTTGGAACCACGTCTGATACATTGAAGGTGAGCCTGATGCAATATCAGTTTCTACATTTCTATGGAACCTAATTTCACCAAATCACCTAAAATCACAAAACCCCAGCAACATTCAACCCAATAAACAACATATATGAAACATATATAACTTGATTGATTCAGCAAAAGCAACATGCAACAACTATCAAACAAGAATCAATTCAATCTCTTTTACTTCTCTTCGAGGTCACAAAACCCTCCTGACTTCATCATTTAATCATTCCATATCTTCAACCAATTGATTTCAATCATCACCACCATAGAAATGTACACCCAAATTCAAAATCACAGCTTCCCTTACATCTTATGGAAAATTCGCAGAGAAGAGAAGAAGAGAAACGACTTCGCACACCACTAGCTTGAGGTTTCCGTCACAAAGGTTGGATTTTTCACCACCTCCTAGAATCAATTGAGAAATGGTAGAAAAGGAAAGGTTTAAGTGAAAATGAAGAAAGAAAGAAAGAAAAAAGAAAGAAAGAAAGAAAGAAAGGGAATTCTCTCTCTAGTTTCTCTCTAGGGTTCTTGATTATGAGCTTCTTTTGACAAAATTTTCTTTTATAACTTTCCTAAGTTGACTCCAATAATCTTTGGTCCAACTCTCTAGAAATCAATGTGCCCTCAGGGTCTCCCAACCCTAGAGTACTCAGCAACAATTGTCAAATCAAACAACAGGTTTTTGAGATGACAATATTACAAATAAAATAAAATAAAATAATAATAATAAATTGTCATTTATAAGTTGTCTTTGTAACAACCTAGTAGGTTATTATACTTATTACAATACAACAGCTAAGTATCTTCTAATTTAGTATTCTGATGCAAGCAGTACCTAGATATTCATGAAACAATATACATATAAGAGTAGAAAACATAAAACAATCCCTACTAATACAACTTGGAAACATAACTCCTTTATTGAGATTTCAACAAAATCATGTGCATATATATACAAATTCTAATTCTAGAGAGCAATACCCTAAGTTATTGGTCAAGCATCTAACTAGTTGTGTTAGAATAGCCTCCACCAAACAATGTCATCTCTTGCATGGCCAAAACATTGTACTCACCCTCCAACCTAATTCTAACTTACTCCTATAACAAGTATTCTTGCAATACAACACATGAAAAAGTAAAGGTAAGCTTGTGTAAAAAAAATTTGACACATAATATAAAAAGCAATAAGCTAACTATATAAAAAAATTCACATCAACTACTCATAAACAATCATATGCTCAACTCAAACAACACAAATATTCAAGTCATTGGATTTACTTAACACTTTACAACTCAACATTCAACAACTTAGCAACTTTAACAACTTTACAACTTAGTAAATTTATGCATCGACATACATGTTCATCTAAGAGATCTCTTATGACACAAGTGAGCAGTTTAACTAGCTTAACTCTATCGAACCAACTATATAGAAAGACCCATAATCCTTAGGTCATACAACACAGTTTTGGATACCTATCCAATATCGACGCAAAAATTATTACTTGGATATTGCCACTTAAACTAGGAAAGTCGAGTACCATCATTAGGAATAGTATAGCTTGTGTATGGGTTCACTACGACATTGTCATGCATTAACCAAGTCACATGTGGAATTAGCCAAGTAATTATCTTTTTGATACCATGCACTCTTCTACTAATTAGTCAGGGATTCTAACCCCATCTTCATACCTTAATAAGTCACTTCAACAACAATATGAATCGACCAAACCTCTATAGTGTTTCAACTAAGAACCTAGAAGAGACAACTTCTAAAAAAAATGCCCCACTTCAAAAGGCAACTTACTCACCGAAGTGCTTTCAACTTTGAACTTTTGAAGCACCATAACTCATATACACACAATGGGATATTTCAACTTCTTGAAATAACATATTCTTCTCTAATTCTAGGTTTAACTTCACAACTCAACAACATGCATCATGCATCTTCTCAACATAATCATTTCAAACTTGGAACATCATCTAATTTAACTCGACTTACTTTCAATTCACCATTCTACAACATGATTTATCAATCATAAACAACATAATACAACAAAGCTCCACAATTATTCAACTTACATCTCATGATAGATAAAAGCATAAAATATAATTAAGTTATTAAACAAGACTCTCTTGGGTGAGGGTAATGCCATTGGACGAGTTAAGCACTCTAAAACTCATTGCTAAACGGTGTTACTCTCGCTAAGCAAAGAAAACGTTGTGGCTTTCCTCGCTAAGCAAGATTTGGCTTGCTAGGTAACCAAACTCCTCTAAAGCTTGTTAGGCGACCAAGAGCTTGCTAGCAAACATATCCTTATGTGAATTCTCTCATTGGGAAACCATAACTTGATGCATGACCAAAGCCCCTTGTGGCTTTTCTCACTAGGCACGTTATGTCCCGTCGAGCGAGCTATCATAGAGGCTACTACAAAGTCATTTTTTCCCTAGGTGATAATCACATCAATGAGCGAGAATGTGATTCTAAGTAGAGGATCATCAACTTTGGATGAACATTAGGCAAGTATTCACCCTTGTTGAGCGAAAACAAAGTTTTTCATCAAGGAAACTCAACTTCTCTCATCGAGATCAACCATCATACAATGTAATCGCAACATGAAACTTATAATTCATCATTTATTCACTTCATTCACCTCAAAAATCAAAAGAAAACCAACATGCATCCATCATACAACTCAGTCCAAATGAAAACTCAACACCTCAACAAAACCCCAACATCCATGATCATCATTCACTATATCAGCTCAGTTGCCACCAACGAACAAAACAACACAAACAATCAACATAAGCTACTCAAGAATGATCAAAAATGCAAACTTCCCTTACCACAATTATACAAGAAATCAAGGAGAAGGAAAGAAACTAAGAAACCTTTTTCCCTTCATACGACAACTTCTCATTATCTCATCTCCTTAACTTTAAATCTCTACTCGAACAACACAAACTCTGCTCCAGGAAAGGATCTAGATGCTCCTGTGAAGTCGGGAGAAAAGAAGATTTTTTGGGATCTAAAACTTATCTCTCTAAAGTTGAGGAAAATAAACTTATGAAACTCAAGTTCTCTAAAAAAATCTTATATATTTCTCCTCTACTTGGTCAACTTTAACCTCAACACAAAAACTTTAAACTCTTAAGAATTCCTTATTCTTTAGAGTTTTGAAAACAACACAAACAACATAGCAACACAAAAAAACATATCTATTACACAACATATTGTATATATAAAGCATTTAACACAACACTGTTACAACTTGCTTGGTCAAAATGCCTCCCAATTTCATGTATTATAAAGTTATTTTTGTAATTATATTACAAACATGAAAGGGGCAAGGATGGGGATGGGGACAAGGATAGGAACTCACCATGCATCCACTTTCAACTTTAACGAGAAAATTCTAAATTCAAACCTGAACCCAGTCAACATGAATTTTCTCGTTTAAATCAAGATAGATTGGGACCGACACCTACAAGGTTGTGTTCATTTGCCATATCTACATGCCACCAAGGTGAAAATCGTTGAAGCCAATAGAGCCACCGGTGATGACACTATTGATTGCATTGACTTCTATTCAGTGCCACCTGAAGCTTTGCAACCCAAATTTTGGCAAAAATACAAATAAAAAATAAAACATACAACCGAGAAGTTGAATAGTGTTACCGCTGGTTAACCACCCGAAAGTAAAAAATGTTTTAAAACAGTCACTTGGATAATTAGTTTGGAATATTGCCACACATTGATCAAAAGGTCCAAGAGACATCTTGCGATTTAGCGGCTTCCTACTGCACCTAAGGACCAATTTAGGTGGAGGCTCCTCTAGAACAAACTGTGCAGGTCCCTCCACAAACTCCTCCCTAGAAGTCGCCTGGATTGACGAGTTAATAAATATATAAATTACTAAAATATTTATTAAATATTACTTTTACCTTAAAAATGGTTGTATTTAGAAAGATCCTCGGGCATTATAGGTGAGTCACTCAAACAGAAATTGAACATTGGACAAAGAAAAACATTCACATACGAAGCGTGATGGAGACGTATGGTATTGACATCATTACTACTCTGCAACTATCGCGTAATGGACATCCCTTAATATAAGAGCATTTAAGAACAGTCCAAACAAGATAACAAAATAACTTAGTCGAAATGCTATCAGAACCTCAGAAATAATACCATAATTAAACTGAAAAAAAAAATCATGTAACCCCCATTATATATTATATTGGATGCGCGTCCCCAAATCAGATGCTCTGATATAATTACAATTATATTATAATTATAATTATAAACAAAGTGGAATACCTTCAATAGTCTCTCACTTGGTGAAGTTCAACACCAGCCAGATCACCGATTAAACATCAAAAAATCTAACTATAGTGTCACTCAATTACAGTACCGCAAGCACATGATCTGGCTGAATATATGGGGAACTAAATTGCAAGGTGGTCCTCGAGTGGAAGTGATGAACTACATTTTGCTCTAAGCATTAAAATAAATTACTTCCACGCACAACTACTACACTGGCTACCAATAAATATCTATATGAAAGGAACAGTTCATTATACAGCATAATCCTATGCAAAAGGATTTCCCCCAACTGAAGCAACTGGTTCCGGTGTCTGGATGTTCCTGTAAACATGCAACTCGGTCGATGAACAATTGAACGTGCTCCAAAAAGTAACATTTGAAGAGATAAAAGACATTGTAAGATACGGCTCTATCAAACCTTATATGACACATGAACAACAGGTCTATCAAAGACTGAACTTGAGATAAAAATAATCTTGAAATAACATGTTGCTCAGTGAAGAAAAGTTCATTCATCAGTAAGGAATTCATTCTATTCTATTTAAAACCAAGCATTAGTAAGGAATTCATTCTATATACTGCTTCATAGCCAATGTTATCTACAAAAGGGTGATCAATACCGTTTACATGCCTGCCTCCCTTTTGACTATAGGGGTGTAACTGTTATGTTTTGATGAATTAATTGTGCACCAAAAGTAATATTAGAAATGCCAAGCAATAATCATCATCTAATGACCACAGTTACAGCTGCATTACAAATGCCAAAAATTTCCAACCTTGGTAGGAAGAATGAGATCCACAAGGAGAAGACACGTATATAGATTTCATTAAGAAAAATAAAAGTGGGGTAAAAAAGACCATGTATGTAACTTACTGTATTTGAGGACTTGGTGATTGAGCAGCCATGAATGATAAACCACCTGCATAATTGAATTATATTATCAAAATAAAAATAGGATTACAGTAGGAAAATTGTATAGACACAAATATTAGAATTGCATTTACTAGAGTGATACCAAACACTTACACAGGATGATTCAAAACAGAAAAGGAAATGAAAGTAGGCAAGACTAAAACGTCTAAGATAAAAAATGTTTGAACTTTCAGTAGGAGTTTTCAAGCACTACCTTCTCCAGTAGAGGAAATATATGGGGTCACCGTGTTTTGAGGAAGCCAAGATTCAGCTATACCACCATGGAAGTTGGCTGGAAACAGGGCATCTGGCAGTGCAGCTTGCAAAGAGCTCATATCAAGAAACTGTAATTGAAACACCAGAAGTGTTTAGATATAATAGGTAACTGAAGACGAGTCATTATCTGAATGTCTCCTATATTCCATGATTCACATTGCCAGATTTGTAACTTTTCCATTGAAAGCAATACCAGAGTATTGGAATCAATGATACATGAATAAAGAATTAACTTAAATCCTTTAGATTTTTCTGCTGTGTTGGCATTTCAAAATGTTATAAATGAAGGAGTTTCTATTCCAAACATTAAAATGAACCAAATAGAAACGCTGCAAGTTGCAATGCCAAATTGAAATGATTAAAATCATAGGCTAGGCTAGGAACCTTCCAGAGTGTGATCACTGATCAGAGGAACTATCATCAATGTAAGAGTTGGAATTTTGCAGAAGTATCACTAAGAACTAGTTTAGGAGGGCCATACATAGACAAACAAAACTATACTAGAAGTATTAAATAACAGTTAAACACCTATTCATTGTTAATGACATACCATATTGTTGTGATCTACATCAGATTCATAGGGATAATCAAATGGATTAGTCGATTTACATTTCACTCCATTAAGTTGAATATCTCCCTGAAAGAATAAACAAAAATAATAAACCAAAACTCTATATAAAGAAAACCTACCACTTTATTGCATATAAAAAATTCTCAATAAACCTAAGAGCACAAACTATTGGAGGAAGCATGGGTGGGGGATACACAGAGTCACTGACATGTGATGTTATGTCATGATTATCAAATGCATCAATAGGGGCAATGCCTTGAACTCCATCCTTATTGAGTCCCTGCTTTAAAAAAAAAAAAAAAAAAAAGTTTGTGAGGATAAAAAAAAAAGGAAGCTCATGAATTTCTACAAGATTATATAACTATCATGGTAATACAGGATACATATAACAACCTCAGATTCTCTTAAACCTAAAATTTGATTATTAGTTGATGGAAAATTGTGCAATTGTAATCCTTGACCAAGGGCATCAACATGATGACGGCCACCAGAATCCTCAAATGCATTCCATGGCTGTACAAACACAACATATGAAACCTTAGCAAGGGACACCATTAATTTCTATTGGAATGTTATCCAAGATGCAAAATCAGCCACAAACCAAACTTTCTTGTACTTGTGTGTTTGCTTCCACGACAGAAACTTGTTCTTCTCCATTCCACACACCATCATGCCATAAATTAGATGTCACTGAAGAAGGTACACTGACACTAGATATTTCAAAAGACGGCCATTGCATGTTTGCATTTGAGGTTGAAAATGGATCAAATATTTCTTGTAAAGATTTAGCACTTGAGGGTACAGTGGCTGGAATTTCCACTTGGGCAGATGAGGTGCTCTGAGGCATATCAAAAGTTGCCCATCCTTCATTTTTAGGGACAGATAACTCCGGTGACTTCTCATCTGAGGATACAGTAGCAGGCAGCTGAGTAAGATTCCCAAAAAAGTCAACAGATGCAAGTTCGGATGTTTCAGCAAGTTGATTCTCATTGAAAGATGGAGCTGCAGATGAAACAGATGACTGAAACAGATCCACTGTTGGAGCTTGAGATGGTGCTGCTGGTAACTGAAAAAGATCAATGGATGAAGCTGAACCCAGTGGTGCCTTGGAGAGGTCCATGCTAGCAGATCTTGTAGAACCAGGTGGTCGTGGAATGCCAAATGCTTTGTTCTGAAGTGGTTCTGAAGCTTGGACTGCTTCTGAGAAAAAATCAACTAAACTACCAGAATTATAAGATCTCAAGGATGAAAATTTGTTGTCTGTCGATTGTGCTGATGCAGTTCTCTGGGGAATGAGTGCAAATTAATGTAATGCAAAGAGAGAACACATGATCAGTTTGCTACAGAAATAAGGCCACAAACACTTGTAAAATGTAATAAGCACACAATCATTCAAAGAGAATTCTTAAACACCAAGGAGTTTGAACAATAATACTTAAAACTAAGCCTATCCTTGGTTATTTTAGAAAGGTAATATTTGAATTTTCAGACTTCACACAAGTGACAGTTATGAAGACCACATCAACTTTTTAATAAACCTCTGATTAGGACTGATATTAGCACACAGTGAGATGTAGTAAACATCTATCAAGAAATCCATTATTAACAAGAAACTCCAACACTCAATTATCCCTCTCTGTACTAATTTTATTATATTGCTTCCCTTAAATGTAGATCTTACTATCTTTAGAAAATATAGTGCTCCACTAGTAAAAACATTATCTTTCCTATGTTCATGTTCCTATACTTGTACCATATTACCACAATAATAACTTTCTTTGTATTATGTTACTTGATAATAATTTTCATCCTAAACCAGAAACAACATGCAGGCAATATATTATTTGATTCCTACAAGAAAATCCAATTTTTTTCTGTGGACAACGGCCCAGTTTGTTTAAAATTAAAAAAAAAAATGTGATAATAAAAAAGTGACTTTTAAAAAAAGTAACTTTTTAAGAAACATATACGATTTGCATGAAAAAAAAACAGTTTAGACAAACACATCCAAAAAAAAAACTACTTATTGTATTAAAAAAATGCTTTTGGAAAAAATAAAATAAACAAACGTGCTCAATATTTCAATTCTCTGACAAACCTGCAGAGGATGAATTCCATCTGAATCTTTTTTGGCATTGACATTAGTTTCCAGAGATGCATTTCTTGTTTGGGACCACAAATCTTCACTTGAACTGGAACCAGATCGCCACTGATAGGATGGACTGCTAATCTTGACATCCTTATGAAAATTGGGAGATTGAACATCAGATTTGAATTGTTCTCGACCACTAGACACAGAAAAGTCAGAAATTCTTGGACCAGATCCCTCATTTGCAAATCTGTCATCATATGCATGATCACTGAGGCGGCCAGGACTGTAGATAACATTAGAAATCTTCCCTTCATAGCGAACTTTATCTGAACCAGGCTTTCTGGTCAGTGAAGCTGCCTGTTTTCCATACCGTCGATCTTCATATTGATAATCATATGGAGGACTTTGAGAATATGAATGATAAGAACTGGCACGCCTAATCTCATCTTCATGAATTCCAGGGCTCTATAGTTAAATTGCAGAAATAAAATGTTCAGCATTCAACTAAAGGGTGAAAATAACTTGGATTATGAGGATGGTTATGCAATTAATTATGACTAGCTGATTCCCGTAGTTATTGCTAAACCATCATTTACTTCATTACATTCACAAATTTAAGTTTCACACAACAATTATATGCACAATACTGAGAAAAAGATCAATGTGATTGATCACCTTGTTCATTTATTTCTTTTTTTAATTTATTTGTTAATGTAAAATGAATTGAATACCATATATTATATTATATTATATTTAGAACAAAGGAAGCACCAATAAATACTATCATACACTACAAAATCTATCTACAGACCCAATAGTTCCTTTGCAGGGGAAAAAGGCATATATCAGATAAAAGAATAAGCTATATCAAGCTTAAGAAAAATAATTACGCAAAGAAAAAATAAAATAGCATCAAAGAGTATATTGCCTGTGCATCTCTTGGAGGCTTTTCTGAAGACTTCACTCCAGCATATCTTCCATCAACGTATACACTCTTTATAAATTCCCTTATTTTATCAACATTGCTGCAAAAGCATAACATGATAATGCCTCACAATTAAGTTATACATATTAATATAGGTAAATAACAGGTTAGTTAAATAGCATGTAATTATACCTGTTATCTGGCAACCGCTGCCTTTGGAAATCCCAATTTTTCAAATGTATTTCCCTTGCACGCTTAAAACAAAGAGCCACAGATAAGTTTCAATTCAAATAGGAAATAAAGGTAGCTCCAAATGAAGAAGATTCACACTTAAATAAAGATAGCTACAGAGGTCTAAAAGAAGAAAATTCACCCTTTTACCTGGTTACCACCATTTTGAAGAGCATCAACTTCTTGTGAAGTGAACTTCGCCATTGACACAGACTTCACACGATGAGTAAACTCACGACTGCATGACATGAAAATAAACTGGTGATTTTAAGAATCATGCAACATCACCAAATATAAAACTACTACAATCACAATCAAAACCAAGCCTTTTCCAACTAGGTGAGGCTGGCTACATCAAATTAATATTAAAAAGGAATAATTATTATTTATATTACAATTATAAAGAGGCATAATTGATTACCAATACCATGAAACCATAATAACAATCACAGAAACTGAATAAGATTTATTGAGAAAATGGGGAAATTCCCCTGATTACAGTATGATCTTAGAACTTCAAGGGTCTGCACCTCTCAATGCCCAAAGGCCCTGAACTACTAAAACCTTTCTCCTATTTATAGGCAATCTTCCATATTTCTTATTATCTAGTCCCCCTAACAAATTAACTAACGTGTAAACCAAGGCCCTCAACTAACCTGTACCTATCAATACTCCCCCAAAAACATTCACCTTGTCCTCAAGGTGAATAATTATGGAAGCATCAAATAAAGTCCATAATGTTCTGATTGTTTGAAGAATGAAGACCAATCCAACCAAACCATTGCAGCCAAAAATTAGCTTTGAATCCTCATGGGTCAAACACAATATGTGATTGCCTCCATTCTTCCTTAATGCTCTTTTTCTTGTAGTATTTTTGCCCATAAAATAGTGTCAATGCAGCTGCAATTAAGATGAGGTCCCATTTAGGCATGGCAATGGGGCGGGACGGGGCGGGTTTTATGTTCCCCGCCCCC